GGGCGGGCGGGCAGCAGAGCTGCTGCGGAGGCCCCTCCACTCTGCTAGCAGCTCAGGAACAGGACAGCTCAACGTTATCTGCACGTCATCCTGAGTCTTATCGCCACTAAGCGGGAAGACCACTTCAGATAACATTAGATGTTTGCCCTGACGCGTCACCATGATTAGATTATTATTATAATTATGACTCCCCAGGATCTTCCCCAGACTGGGACACAGGGAAGGAGGATGGAGGGCAGCGGAGCCCTGAGGGCCAGGCTGGGCCAGGGCAAGCTGGAGTCCCTGGCAGGAGGGCTGTGGTACTGGGCCAGGCGGCAGCCTGGTCCCGCCTGACGGATGCCTTTCAGGAAGGGCAGTCTAGCTTGTCAGAGCGAGGGCGAGATGAATTGGCGTCTCCGCTGCGGCCGCGGGTGTCATGCCGCACAGTTTCATATTCCCAGATAAGGCGTGATAACCAATTGCTGCCGTGACATGGCCTCATCCAGCACTTCCTCAGGGGGCACGGGGTGGAGGGGAGGAGGCGGCGCGTGCACATGGGTCTGCCAAGCTCCTAATAAGAGGGATTTAATTTTTACAAATGCTGCTTCCAGCGGGGCCTTCACATACCAGCCAAAGTCCAAAATGATATTAAAAACGGTTAATTAAAACTGCTCTCCTTCAGCCTGGGCTCTCCCGTTGCCCATGCTGAGAACCCTGGCATGTCTCCCTCAGGTACTGGCACGTGCCCCTACAAAGCTTGACCTTCAGACGTGACTGCCAGCCTCACGGAACCACCCAAGGCACAGCACTGGGGCCCAGCTCCTCAAGCTTACCCCATCTCCTGACAGCTCAGGTCCCCCTCAGACACAGCTGCAGACAGAGTCACCCAGAGAACACAGAGGGTCTATAGCCCACGAACGGGCCGGACCTCTGCACCCACTGCCTGCCACCCCCAGCAGTCACTTCCAGAGCCCATTGCACCCTGATGGGGGGTGGGCTATGCACACCCACAAGTGTATCAGACTCTTCCTCAGGTGACTCTGCCAACCCTTCCATTCCTTGCTCGTTCCTAAGAGACATTCTCCTAAGTGATTATGTCTGTCTGCTAATCTGAGCAGAGCCCTGCCTGGGCGTCGGCTCAGGGCAACGTGGTACAGGCAGTCACCTAAATCAAGGCTGGTACCAGGGACTCCACAGAACAGGAGGATCAGGAAGGCTGAGCCCTGTGGTCTCCCACAGGGGACAGTGAAGACATACAGGCCCATGTGGAGTTGGAGGAGGCTGGGAAAGCTCCCTGGAGGGAGGGATACCAGAGGGCTGGGGGACTGACGGATGACGCAGAGCATACTGTTCTAGGTAGAAGACTTAGCAAGGACAAAGGAGAATGACAGGAGTAAGCACAAGGCCCTGAGTGTGGACAGGCAGCCTGCCTAGAGAGAAGGGGCCACATCTGGAGCCACTGTCACCCGATTCTGTGCCAAGAACAAGTCAGGTATCAAGGCGCCTTGGGTCCACCCTTTACCTGCTTCTTCTCCCTGCTCCCACCCTCTCTCCTGCCAACCCACAGGGTGTGGGGGTAAGGGATCCAGAAGCTTTCTGACCTTGATTAGTGTGGGCAGGCATCTGTTTTAGAAGCCTGTGCCCAAGCCCCTTTCCCACCGCTGGCTGTAAATCCTCTAAGTGCTCCTTCTGCAGCTGCACTCCTCTTGGCCATCGCTTGTCCTGCTGTGCAGTCATCACCTAATTCCTGGGGTTCCTGGCCAGGGCTAGGGCAGGTGCAAGGAAGACCAAGGAGCTCCTGAGTCCTGTCCGGAGCAGACACTGATACTAAGCCATTGGGACAGGTGGAGCTAGGGGGAAAGATGCTGGGTCTACCAACCCAACCCACCCGGCCCAGTGCCAGGCAGGCATGCACAGTTTCCTTCCCCTGGGCTGCTGTAATTTCCATGCGCGGGGAAGCAGGTGCCGAGCTGCTCCCGGCTGGCTCTCCCCTCTTGTGGCTCTGCCCGCCTTGGCTGCTGCCCCATTAGCTTAGTGGCCAGCCATCTGCGACGGGCCTGCCGCACAGCCCTGCTACAGGCGCGGCGGGTGGCCCCCTGTGTAACAGGGAGCTTTGCCATTAGCGCCTTTAATATTCTGACACCTCAGCACAGCCTGCTATTACATGCAAACGCTGATCGCCCTGTGAAATTACATTGCTGGGCCCGCGAAATGGAATCGTGTATAATCAGCCTCCTCCATGCACTGTCAGTCCCATCACAAACACGGCGCCCGGCGGCTTACGGGGGCTTAGCAGCTGCGACAAGTGTATTGGGTTTAATAGATGAAGTAGCCCTCATCGGAGGCAGCGGCAGATCCTTCAAAGAGGAAAGAAGAAGCACCAACAGCTGCAAGGGTGTCTCTGCACACCCACAGACCACCTATCAGAGCCCTCAGAGTGGGGTGGGTAGTGTGGGCAGGGTAGTAGTGAACTAAGGGGCTAGAATCCAGCTCAGAACGCAGACAGAAGCACAGACCACCCTAGTTCTAGAAAACCCAGAGCTTCCAATCCAGCACCAGCACATCCGGCCTATCCTGCATCCCTGTGAGGTGGCGAGGACAGGCCTTTCACCACAC